CATTATGAAAAAAAAAGAAACTATAAGTGAATTTAATTACCAGGATAATAAAAGAAGATAGAAGCTGTATTCCCAGCCTGTTCTTACTATGAACGAATGGTCTGTCAATTATTGTACAACTATGGGTACAAGGCCATGCTCAAAACTGGCTTTTAGATAGAAGAAAATGCTTATTTCTAATTGCAGGATAATATGAAATGCTAGTTCTGTTTTTTAATACCAGGATACTCTATGCTGTTGGTTCCTTAAATGGGTTATTTCCTTTGCTTGTCTATGCATTTAACACCTCGGAAGGCAAATGCTGTTTTCGCGAAACCATCCAAAGATAATTCACCCTTTTTCCATGCTCCCATCTTACCGTTGTCTCCCCATCTCCACCCAGTCTTAGAATATCCTTTTTGGTTTGAATTTCTCAATGAATAGACATTTATGGTAAAACTCAGATATGTATCCTAATTGTTTAAATCTCAACAGTTCCAGGTCTATAGAACTTATTTTTTTTACTCTGATACCTACTAATAAGATACCATTTCAAAGTCTAAAGTGTCCCCTCAGGAAAACAGAAGACTTGCCTAACTGACAGGTCTGAGCTGCTTTCAGAGGCCGGGCTGTCCTTCTTTGGTGGGAGATGGGAGGAAAGGTGACTCAGTTAGGCCCAGCTGTGAAGGTTCTTCAGGACTGGGGCCTTCCAGAAGGGGTGTTTGTCTCCTGAGGTTAAGGGAATGTTGAAATAAAAGGGCAATATGAAACTGACAGTCAAATGGGAAGCCTGGTTAGGTATGCCAGAGAATTCGATTCACAGGGGTCACCAGGCTGAGGGCCCAGAAGCAGAGTCTCTCATGGGATCCGTGATGAGATGCTCTGAGAGGAGGGAACTGGGAAGTAGTGGGTTCTGATGGGTGGGGAGCGCAGATGTCTGGGGCAGCTGTGGAGCCGCTGGGTTAGGTTGGGTTAGGGGGGCAGAGGTACTGGTTGAAGTTACAGGGACTGGAAGGGAGGCAGAGAACTGGAGTAGGTGAGAAACCTCAGCATGCAGAGAGCACTGGGGATTAGGACCCAGGGTCTGGAATGGGGAGAGCAGGGCCAAACTCGAGACGCACTCAAACCATAGCACATGGGAAATCTAAGCTTAGGATTGCGTTCACTATAAATGAAAGATGAGACCTTGAGTATATCACTTAGGTGATAATTCAGGCACTGAAGCAAAGTAACTTCTGTAGTTTTTTAAAAAGGCTAAAAATTAAGACATTTGTTTTTTCTTTTTTCAAAATTGAAGTGTTGTTCATTTACAAAGTCATGTTACTTTCAAGTGTACAGCACTGTGATTCAGTTATATATATGTGTATATGTGTGGGTATATATATATATATACACACACATATACACATATATATTCTTCTTCAGATTCTCTTTCCTTATAGGTTATTACAAAATATTGAGTATAGTTCCCCATGCTATACAGTAGGTGCTGGTAGGTTATTTTATATACACTAGTGTGTATATGTTAATTCCAACCTCCTAATTTATCCCTCCCCTCCCCTGCCTTCCCCTTTGGTAACTGTAAGTTTCTTTCTATGTCTGTAGTCTCTTTCTGTTTTGGAAATAAGCTCATTTGTCTTTCTCTCTCTTTCTTTTATTTATTTAGTTTTTTGGTTTTCATGTTTAAGAGATATCATATAATCGTTATCTTTCTCTGTCTGGCTTCCTTCACTTAGTATGATGACCTTTAGGTCCATCCGTGTTGCTAAGACATTTGTTTTTGAATAGTACTGTGTGTGTATATGAGAGAGAGACAGGGAAGGATTGAGGTTCGAGGTATCTAGTAAACTGTCAAGGAACTCTCCTACACTCTGCTTTTATGGAGACAAAGCCTTTCAATCAAGATGATCAATATTTTAAACTCTGAAGGTTTGCTCCGACTAGACTCTGGCCAGCCTCAGTCACGTTCCGGTCAGGAAAGCTCGTTAATGATTCATCGTTAGGAGTTACGCCCTTTTTACCTCGAAACTGATTTGCTTCTAGATGAATTTCTTTAGCTGTCTTCCTCCAGTAGTGGACTGGGCAAGCTCTTGCATAGTACTGAGGGGAAACGTGTTTAAAGCCAGCTCTGGGTTGGATGGGTCGATGGGGTGTCTGTCCTCTGCCAGGAGTCTGTCCCAGCTAGCACCCTCCCTACCTCCTTTCCAGTGGTGGCTGTCAATGCCGAGCTCCGGCCTGCAGGAGCTGGTCTCTTCTCCATGGAGGGCAACGTGTCCTCACTCAGCATTTAGATCCTTGTGTGAAGATACTCACAGATGAAACGCCCCACTGCTTCTCATCTGCCTTCTGTTTTTGGAATTTCCCAGACATCTCCTGAACTGTGTGGCCAGTTCAGGATGGGGGGCTTGGAGGAGCCTGGCGATACAAACCAGAGAGGCCACCGGGCATGGAGCCTGAATGTTTAGAGACCTTATTCCCATGGATCTTCCACGTCAAGTTGGGGCTTACGGTGCTTGGCATGTGACATGGGAGAATGCGTGAGAAAAGGGCCTATGGGTTGAATGTTTTCCTTTCTTGGAAGCTACATAGTGCCATGGTTAAGGGCATAGGTTCTAGAGCCAGAGAGCCAGGGTTAGAATCCCAGCTCTATCAGCTACTAGCACTGGGACGGATTCATTGCCGTGGAGTCCCTCAGTGACATATAAGAATCGCTCTTCTCATTTGTAAAGTCGAAGAAACAACAGTACCTATTTCATAGGGGTCTTGTGAAAATTAAATGAGCAACTATTTGTAAAGTGCTTATAACAGTGCCTGGCACTTGGTAAATATAATTGTTTGGTTAAGTTAACTGGGTTCATGTCCCTCAGGTTTAGTGAATGAAAACAACTAATGATTACCAGAGAGGATAAAACTATTCTGCTTGAATACTAGAAAGTAATATCTATAGTTACCACTTGTTGGCTGTTTAACCTGATCTAAATAGTATGCCAACCAGTTTACATAGTACTGATGAAAAAGTACCTAGCCCTAGCATGTCCCAGGCACAATTCCAAGCTACTTGACTCCTTTGTTCCTCATAAAAACACAGACAGGAGTACCTAGATGCCAGTATTATTATCATTCCTGTTGTACTGGTGGGGAAACCGAGGCAGGATATTTGACAGCCTGCTCAAGATCCCATAGCAAGGAGTGGAACGCAGTTTTGAATCCAGGCAGGATGGTTTCAGAGTCTGCTTTGAACCACGATACACGGTGCCTCTCGTGGAATCCCTCCTTGATTTATCATGGCAATCTTCTGAGCACGTATTAGTATTATCCTCGTTTTGCAGAGAATGAAACTAAGGCTTAGAGAGGTTAAGAAAGTTGCCTGAGTGCACACTCAAGTAAGTGAGGGAATACTTGGATTCAAGACAATTTGCTAAAAATACAGAATCAAGATAAATCTGACAAGTCTGAGTGTGCTGAAGTTGAGGAGGACGGGGGAGGCAGAGAGGGGAGAAAGACAGTAGAACAGAATCTCTGTTACCACTGTTGCTCTGGGAAATTCAAGACGTGGAGCGTGTGCCATATGCTTAAGGACCTTCCAGAGAAGTGTATTTCTAAAAACTCATCAAGAAATAATTTCTGTTTTTAGCTACTCTTGCTGAGATAAAATTCAGTGTCTGCTTTTAATCTTGAGTAGCTATTGCAGGTCTGATTCTGTCTTCTAGGGAACTGTATTTCCTCAAAAGAAGATTTTAAAAAGCAGCAAAGATATATTCGATGTTAGAATGTTCAGTGAAAAAAGTCTGAGTGCAAAATTGTATGACAACTTCTAGGTAAAAATATTCAGCCATATGGACAAATCCCTAGAAGGGAATACAAAGGAATGAAAATACTTCTTTTGTTAAGGTGGTGAAATTCTGATTTACAAAAGTTTTTACTTCCAATACTGCTATTATTTGATAATTAAAGAAGATAATTGAAGAAATCAACCCTTATTGTCCACACTGGCTTATGGTCAATGTCCATAGTTCAAGAACACCGCCTTGGAGTCTGAGAGTAACCTCTCATCTCTCCCTCATTTACCTACTGGGCACCTGACTACCAGGCTCATCGGCCCCCATGTGACCCTTGTACTTCTTTGACTCTACGTTTTGCAGTAGTGTCATCAGTTTGATTTGTATCACCCTCTGTTTCATTTGAAAATAGCTACTGCCTTCCATAAGCCCTTCCATAAAGGCGTCTTTGACCAACACCAGCTGGAAGTGATCTCCCCTCCTCCGAGCTCTTAGCATCTGTAATGGACATGCAACACGTGTGGCCTATGACATGTCCATCCTCCCTGTCCTTTTAATTTTATTTTATTATTTTTTTTAAATGAATTTATTTATTTTTGGCTGCATTGGGTCTTCGTTGCTGCGCGCGGGCTTTCTCTAGTTGCGGCCAGCAGGGGCTACTCTTTGTTGCGGTGTGCAGGCTTCTCATTGCAGTGGCTTCTCTTGTTGTGGAGCACGGGCTCTAGGCGCGCAGGCTTCAATAGTTGTGGTGCATGGGCTCAGTAGTTGTGGCTCATGGGTTCTAGGGCGCAGGCTCAGTAGTTGTGGCGCACGGGCTTAATTGCTCCGCGGCATGTGGGATCTTCCCAGACCAGGGCTCGAACCCGTGTCCCCTGCATTGGCAGGTGGATTCTTAACCACTGCACCACCAGGGAAGCCCTCTCTGTCCTTTTAGATCATAAACTTCTTGAGACTGTAGACTCTGCTAAACTCTTAGCAACTAGCATGATAGCTTACAAATGGCAGAGGAAATCTGGATATCATTTTGTTGATGGAGTTAACGAGTTAGGAAAAAGGAGGTGCCTTGTTCACTTTCAACTTTAAGGAATATTTCTAGTACTGCATTGTGCCATCCTCATGAAGGATAAAAGGAATCCCGAGATATAAAAATGTCAGATTTGAAAATGGTCTACCATTTCAATGAAGTCATTGTAAATTATTTCTCTTAGTAATTTTCACTTTATCCTTAGAATTATAACGTACAATTTTTGGTTTAAATGGCCCAGAGATCTGTGTGAGCAAAGGGTAAGTTTTATCATCCTGAGTAGATGTCCTTCAGATGGGCTGAAGTCCAACGCAGCATTTCTGGTCCTTTGCCACTCCTATGTTTGCTTTAGTCTTTTGTAGTCTCATCTTCCAGTTTTATATTTTAATAAACTTCATCAGCAGAATCTTGCCTTGTGATCTTGAAAAACAGAATAGAAATTCATGGTTTAGACGCAAGTTTTTTCCAAAGGAGTGAGATGAGATCTAGCCACTGATATTTATGCCTTGCGTGCCTGGTGGTACAAAATTGTTAGGGGACCTCAGAAAGAAAAATTAGAAACTTGACAGAATGATTTCTATTTATTTCACATGTTTTCCTCTTGTTTGCAACAGTTTGGCCAAACAGGAACTTCTCGAAAAGATGTATGCAAAACAAAGGAAAAGACGCTGGTGTCCTTTTTATTGCCACATTTGATAGTATATGTGTTTGGGCATGGGTCGGTATGCCTTTTTTAGTTTTTTTCTTTTTACAACGTCTAGACCTTTGTCTTCTTGCTTACTTCTCAGTGTAGAGATGCCTTAGACCATGCTGCCAGATTAGCCTTAGCTCCCTCTTTCAGTAAAATGACCGTTTGATTTTCAAATCACTTATCCTTTGTGAAGAATCTGTCTCAAAGGTGGGAAATCGAGATGACTTTGAGCTCTCCAATGAGGGAACCTATATGTTGGTGCCCATCGACCAGCACATCTCTTGTCTGAGATGTAATGAAACCCATTCTTTGTGTTTCACTTTAATGGGAAAATAAATGGTCCAAAGATTGAAAAATAAATGACATTGAAAGAAAAAGGCAAGGCAATTTAAAAGGAAGAAGGAAGGAATGAAGAAAGCGGTAGCTGGAGTATCTAATTGCAAATGGTTTTCTAACATTCACTGGTATGTTAACATTGCCTACCAGGCTCCATATGCACATCAAAATATTACTGTTTTGTCTGTTTGTTTTGGCCATGCTGCACTGCGTGCGGGATCTTAGTTCCCAAATCAGGGATTGGACCCGTGCCCCCTGCAGTGGAAGCACGGGGTCTTAACCACTGGACCGCCAGGGAAGCCCTTATGCATATCAGAATATAATCTGTGTTACGTATCGGCTCCCTTATTAAATCTCTCTTTCTGATTTCAGAAGCATACTGCTGCATGTATGGAGAGAGCAAATGTAGATGACCAGGAAATAGTTGCCTGCATGAGGTTAGCCTAACAATATATTCAACACTGTTCTCAAGATGAAAGGAATTCGTTCATAGCTTTAACATTGGTTGACTTGTCCGTAGTTTCCAGACTTTTGCACACTAGGGGTTTCTCTAAACCCCAAGCCTTTGAGAATCTAGAGAAAAGGAAACTATATTAATGGCTGTCTGGTACAGTCAGAACTGAATGAGGAAAGGTAATCTCTAAAGAAATTTCAAAGAAACAGGAGAAAAGAATGTTAATTTCCATGTAAATGGATTCAGAAGGCTAGGCTTTTCAGTCTTCCAAGGTGGAAGAATTAATTATCAGTTTTCAAGAGCAAAATTTATTCACAGTAAGAGCTATAGCAATCAGAAGCCTTTAGGTGTAAAATTCATGAAATTAATCTTGGACTGACTAAAATTAAATAAATCACCATTCTGTTCTTTGCTGTACTGCAAACTTCCAAGTATTTGACGTTACCCTTTGGTATGTTTGTGAACAGTATTTAAAGGTTGCCTTTGGGGCTTCCCTGGTGGCGCAGTGGTTGACAGTCCGCCTGCCGATGCAGGGGACACGGGTTAGTGCCCTGGTCCGGGAACATCTCACATGCCGCGGAGCGGCTGGGCCCGTGAGCCATGGCCGCTGAGCCTGCGCGTCCGGAGCCTGTGCTCCGCAACGGGAGAGGCCGCAACAGTGAGAGGCCCGCTCACCGCAAAAAAAAAAAAAAAAATGTCGAATGGGGATGAATGAATGAATGCACATTGCTAGAGAACAAAGTGGAAATTTCTCTCCTTGTATTCCTTGCAGTTGTAATACAGGATATGGGTATTCCATAAGACCCAAATGACATTTCACTCCTGAGTAGAGGTGTGAAGCAGGCAGAAGGTCTTGCTCTTCTCAAATGAGGCTTTGACTAAACCATCATTTTCTCTTTAAGGGGTAAGTGGTTCCCTGTTCCAAATTAAAGTCATAGTTTGAGGTAAGGCTACTCAGACACTTCATGTGTGAGAGGAGGCCAGGAATTTCAGAAGAGGTAGGTGAAAAAAAATGGGAAGAGGTGAGACATTGAGAAATCATCTTTGTAGGATAATGACTGAGCCAAGCTGAGCAAATTGCTGCTAACTGCTTAAACCTGGATCTCCCCCATGGCTAGACCTGTCCCAGTTACCCAACCAAGGAGGGCCAAGGTCTTACTTGGACACTGATGTCTTTCTTTTTTTCTTTCTCTTTTTTTGGCTGTGTTGGGTCTTCGTTGCTGCGCACGGGCTTTGTCTGGTTGCAGCAAGGGCAAGGCACCGGCTTTAGGTGTGCGGGCTTCAGCACTTGTGGCATGCGGGCTCAGTAGTTGTCGCTCGGGTGCAGGCTCAGTAGTTGTGGCGGACGGGCTTAGTTGCTGCGCGGCATGTGGGATCTTCCCGGAGCAGGGCTCGAACCTGTGTCCCCTGCATTGGCGGGTGGATTCTTAACCGCTTTGCCACCAGGGAAGCCCTGCTGTCTTCTTCTGATTTGTTTCTATGGCTTGTGGAGACAAGCTAACTCTCCTAGCGCACAGTTATAGCTCTTTCTCTTCTGTCTACTCCATCTCTTTGCTCCATAATCTGAGGTTGAATTTCAAGAGTGTTGTCTGAGAGAAAATCCTAAAAATATTTTGAAATCTCATGAAACTTGCCTACAGCAACTTAATACAGGGCAGCTTCTCCCACCTCTTTGAGGCAGTGGAGTATTAAGATATATTGGTGAGTGGGATATTGTAAAAGTGGTCCTTAACAAACAAAGGCTTTGCCTGTCTCAGGGTGGACTTTCTTGGGCATGGTTTGAGGGTCTGGGCTTTGATATAAATTCAGATCTGATGACTACACAATCGATATTAAATTTTATAAAATCATTCACAAGGGAAAAGCTCAGATTCCAAAAATATCTTTATAAGACATTCAGCTAGGGAAAATGAAGAACGTATTTTGTCTCATTGTCAAGGTTTAGGGAGGAAAACCCACAGGTAGTCATTACGATGTGTCCCCAAAATAGGAAAACAAAAGTTCATCTCTAGGATTATTTGTTTAGCTCAAGAAAGTTTATACAGCTTGTGGGAAATCATCTCCTAGGAGGTTGTTCTCTTATGTTTGTTTTGCCTGATTTTTTCTCCAGAAGAATAACTTCAGTGTCCCTACCATCAGCTACTTTTTTTTTTTCCTCCTAATATATATATATTTTAACATCTTTATTGGAGTATAATTGCTTTACATTGTTGTGATAGTTGCTGCTGTATAACAAAGTGAATCAGCTATACGTATACATATGTCCCCATATCCCCTCCCTCTTGCATCTCCCTCCCTATCCCACCCCTCTAGGTGGTCACAAAGCACCGAGCTGATCTCCCTGTGCTATGCGGCTGCTTCCCACTAGCTATCGATTTTACATTTGGTAGTGTATGTATGTCCGTGCCACTCTCACTTTGTCCCAGCTTACCCTTCCCACTCCCCATGTCCTCAAGTCCATTTTCTATGTCTGCGTCTTTATTCCTGTCCTGCCCCTAGGTTCTTCAGAACCATTTTTTTTTTTTTTTAGATTCCACATATATGTGTTAGCATATGCTATTTTTTTTTCCATTTCTGATTTACTTCACCCTGTATGACAAACTCTAGGTCCATCCACCTCACTACAAGTAACTCAGTTACAGTTCTTTTTATGGCTGAGTAATACTCCATTGTATATATATGTGCCACATCTTCTTTATGCATTCATCTGTTGATGGACACTTGGGTTGCTTCCATCTCCTGGCTATTGTACATAGTGCTGCAATGAACAATGTGGTACATGACTCTTTCTGAATTATGGTTTTCTCAGGGTATATGCCCCGTAGTGGGATTGCTGGGTCGTATGGTAGTTCTATTTTTAGTTTTTAAGGAACCTTCATACTGTTTTCCATAGTGGCTGTATCAATTCACATTCCCACCAACAGTGCGAGAGGGTTCCCTTTTCTCCACAGCCTCTCCACATCAGCTACTTTTTGATACATAGGCTCACTGTTGAACCTGGCACCATATCATTTTTCTTGTTTTAGGGAAATGGGTTCAGATGATAGCAATGCCAGGCACCCAAGTAAACACAAGGGCCAAGATGCTTTCTAAAGAAAGATTAAAAGAAAAGAAAGAGGGTAAGATGAAGATAGAGATCATTCTGTTCCCTTTTGCCTGGTCTTTGATTTACAGTGTAGAGAGGGTTGGGTTTTGTAAAGAATATTGGCAAAAGGAAAAAAATTGAGTTCTTTAAGGAGTCTAAAGCTGAGCTTCAGCTCATGTTTCTGATCTTTATCAGAACCTCATTGGACTATGAATCCTATACCCATCAGCACTCTTTAGGAATCTTAGATTCTTGAAAATACGAGAACCTTGTGTTCTCCATGTGTCTAAATAAACATTGAAAGCTTGCTTCTTGAGGGCATCTAGCAGGGATATGCAGCTGCTCATACAAGCCTGACTTAATGGTCCTCTTCCACCTGGGCACACTGTGCTCTGTCCCCAGAAGAATGGACCCCACCAGTGATACAGTCCTCTCCAGCCACTTCGGTCAACCTTTACCATCCCTGGAGCTCTCAGTGTTTCAGCCAAGGAGTGAAGCAAAGGATTAGGACAGTTTCCTAGATAATCTGAGAATTTATCTCTTTTTCCTTTTCTCTTGTTATATGGCCTCATACTTACTTCACTCAGATAGGCTTAGTATCTTTTACTTCATGAGAATAAGAACTGTGAAAAGGGCTTTTCTAGACCTAGGTCTAGCCCTTGCTCTGTCAAATATTTCCTTGTTGTGTGACCTTGGAAAAGGCTCTGTCTCTCAGTTCCTCTGTGTCCTCAGTATAATGAAGCAGGGGTGACTATTATGTTGCCCTTACACTACTGTTGTGGAGATTCAATGTGATATACAAAAAGGAAAATCTGTACAAATGAGTTGTCAATTTTCTGTAAAATGCATACTTC